TTCTTTCTGCATTTACAAACGACTATAGTAATTTTACGTACACAATACTTCTGAGTTTACTACAGTTGTTTGGAACTATTGGACGAAATAGTAAGAAACTTTGCTAATTTGGTGAACATTTGTCGGATTAGTGACTTAGTGTAGAAAATAGTATATTTTTTATTAAAATGCATTTCTATTCATCTATGTTACAATAATTGAAAAAGGAGTTTCAGATAAACAATATTTATAAGTGTAGACTAAATAAAAAATTTGTATAATTTATTTTTTTAATTCACATTATTTACTAATAAACAAAATTTATTATAAATACATTTTATGGACATTTTCTGCAAGATTCCAATATTATTTTATAAACAATAGTTGATTCACAAATGAATAAAAATGTCAATTTCGAAGATGAAGGGTTCGTTTTAATTTACATTATTTACTAATAAACAAAAGTTATTTTTAATTAATTTTTTTAATTAAATTTTTATTTATTTAACTGCATATTTACAACAATTTTAGAATTTACCTTAGAAAAGATCATACAGTTTGTTGACCCTTTTTTTCCAAAATTAAAAATGGCTGATCGAAAATTAAAACAGCGATGAAAAACGGACTTTATGATGATCTCAAAAGAGAACAGAAACATAGCTCTGACTAGGACTGATTAATAGTTTTTTAATGTCAAAATATAAAATACCACTTACCTGCGAAAAACACGAAAGATTCGTAATGTTTTCACATAAAAAGTTTGCTGTATAGGGGAGAGTGGGGCAAAATGGGGTAGGCGGGTCAAATGGGGTACCTCTGTTTTTCCATGATAGGTACTTTTAATTTTTTTTTCCTCGACATATATCATTAATATAATTATTATAAGATGGTAAGGTGTCAATTTAGCGGATATATATTTATTTTGCTTATCATCGATAAGACAGAAATCAATATTTCAAAATTAATACTTCATTAATATTTGAAAATATATTTTATTTTGTGCATGGTTTCTGAAAAAAATGAATCGTCTCTCACCGCTGGGGTATGATCCCAGAACCTTCCTATTGCCGGTAGGATGCTCTACCAATTGAGCTACAGAGAGATCCGATATCATCAATTTCAGAAACCAAGCACACGACTTTTCAACGCATAGTACAAATTTTATTGTAATATCATAAGATATTATCACCTTACCATCTTATAATAATTATTATCACGGAAAAAACCCATTTACCATCTTATGATATTACAATAAAATTTGTACTATGCGTTGAAAAGTCGTGTGCTTGGTTTCTGAAATTGATGATATCGGATCTCTCTGTAGCTCAATTGGTAGAGCATCCTACCGGCAATAGGAAGGTTCTGGGATCATACCCCAGCGGTGAGAGACGATTCATTTTTTTCAGAAACCATGCACAAAATAAAATATATTTTCAAATATTAATGAAGTATTAATTTTGAAATATTGATTTCTGTCTTATCGATGATAAGCAAAATAAATATATATCCGCTAAATTGACACCTTACCATCTTATAATAATTATTATCACGGAAAAAACCCATTTACCATCTTATGATATATCATTAATGTTGATAAGAAACTGTTATTAATTATGAAGACACTCCAAAGAAAATTTTTTTTTGAAAGTTATACAACTTTTAAGTTTTAAGCAAAAAAAATATGAATTTTTTTCAAAATTAAAGTGCTCTCTAAACTTTTTGGGATAATGCATTTAATTTGGCAAGTGTGGGATCTGTTTCAGTACTTATTCTAGAGTAATTTCCAATAGAATAGATTGTTTAATTGTTTACAATAACTTGTAAACATTGCATTTTGTTTTAATATGCAGTGTGGGGCAGAATGGGGTACCTAAGTGTGGGGCATGCCGGAAGCTACGCCGTTTCACTAAAACTATTTAAAAACATTATATTATGCATATTTAAAGGTTTCCTGCAGAAGAATCGATATTTTTGCTTCGAGGCATTTATACTATCGATGTTTCATTATCGATATATCGATATTTTGCAATATCCATGTTTTTTTTGTTAAATTCCAATAAATATTACTTGTTTTGTCATAGTAATAAAGAATCCTACTTTTTGTTTGTATTTATAATCTCATACAACAAGAATTTAATGAATTTTGAAAAAATACTCAATGTTTTGTATAGTTATTTGATGCCACCCCATTTTAGCACTTTCTTAGAAAATACGATATAAGTTCTTTCAAAAATTTTTTTCTCCGCTATTATCATAATTTCCTCAAAGCTATAAGTGTACAAAGAAGAATTCTGAAGTTTAGCTGAATCGATTTATTCGTTTGGTTCTCTGTAAACAGCCAATTTCAAAAAGGTACCCCATTTTGCCCCACTCTCCCCTATATATTTTTCGTAAGTTAAAATTTGAGAAATAAATTTAACACAATTTGAATATTGTTTATTAAATTGTAATTAAAATTCTTTTATTATTATTAATTAGTTATTATTTTTCAATTTCCGCACTATTCTCATAAAAAATTAATATTTTTATAACAGCTTGTCAAAAAAATCAGTTAAAAAATTAAGCTAAGAACTTTAGTTTACTAACTCATAATATAAATTAAAACGAACTTCGTAGTTTTAAAATTAGTAAACTTACGCATTTGTTAATTAAGAATTTTAACAAAATTATCATCATCATTTTAAACAATTGCAGGAGCTGCAATTTAACAAAATTTAAGTAAATTTCGATATAAACCAAAAAAATTGTCTCTGGGTAGTAAGAATTACGAAAGATATGTGATTGTTAACTAATTATTGTTTATAAAATAATAAACAAATTGAAGAATGCAATTTATCAAATTATGACTTGTTTCCATATAAAATAATCAAATCTGATATCTTGACTTATCTTCCAAATTGACATTTTTATTCATTCGTTAATTAACTATTGTTTATAAAATAATATTGGAATCTTGCAGAAAATGTCCATAAAATGTATTTATAATAACTTTTGTTCCTTTGTAAATAATGTGAATTAAAACGAACCCTTTACCTTCCAAATTGACATTTTTATTCATTTGTTAATTAACTATTGTTTAACTCGCCCGACGCTCGGAGGAACGCGCAACTGCCAGTCAGTGAGTAGTGAGCGTCTCTGGGCCACTCACTGCTACCCGACTGGTATTAACCTTCGAGCGTCGCGTCGGGCGAGTTATTGGATCCAAGACCTCAATTTGTCTTAAAAAAGTACGTGTCGTAAATTTATTTGTTTATAACTAATTAAATAAATTTTTTATTTAGTCTACACTTATAAATATTGTTTATCTGAAACTCCTTTTTCAATTATTGTAACATAGATGAATAGAAATGCATTTTAATAAAAAATATACTTAAATACAATTTTTTTCTCTCTTTTACTTCCTCATAGAGGAAGTATTGTAATACCGAAATTTTTCGAGTTCGATTTTTTGACATATCTTTATGTTATTTGACCTCAGGAGTTCAAAAATGACATTTTTAAAAAATGTCATTCCGTATGTGTGTGTGTGTGTGTGTGTGTAAACATCACATTTTCATAAATATCTCGAAATCATGAAGAGCTTTTGAGTTGAATTTTTTTTTAAATTGTAGATCTCACCTGCGGACATAAAGCGAGAGTACTTTCTGATATATTAATAAAGTTTAACTAAATTTTTTTTTGATTTTTAATTTTGCAAAAAAACGTTTTTTGACCATAACTTTAAAAAAATGTTAGGACACCTATAAATGTTTTTTCATAATTTTGTAGAGTTTTTTTATACGCATCTTTTGAGCCTAATTGAACATTTTTCGTCCATATTAACCGGAGTTATTAAACTTTTAAAAATCAAAAATTTTGGAAAATAAGACTTTTTTGAAAATTTTGTTAAAAAACGTAGAAGTAACTTTAAAATTATCGTTATCAACTTGTAGAGCATTAAAAAACGCTTCGATTGACCTATTTTTGAACCTAATTCGATAATAAATTTCAAAATTATTGGTATTTTAAAAACCAAAAATTGTGAAAAATGACATTTTCTCAACTTTTTTGATTGACAATTTTTATTTAACTATTAAATTATTGTAACTATCTTGTAGTGTATTTAAAAATACATTGATTGACTCAAAATTCAATCACTTTTACCATATTTATAAAAAGTCATTCATATATTTCTATTATTTTTATCTCTATGAGGAAGTAAAGTGTTCATGAAATGAGCACCAAAATTATATAAAAAAATACAACTTGGCAGCGGTTTTTTTCATATTTATTGTTAAATAAAAAAATTGTTAACAATTTTCAAAATTCTACGACCACAGATCGATGCGCAATTTTATAAGTTTTCATTTAAAAAAAAAATGATTAAAAACGAATAATATTTGTAACCTCTAGACTGATTTGTCCACGACAAACCACTTTTGCCCCATTGTGTGCTGCAGTGATTGAGGCCTTCTCAGTGACTGAAATCAAAAAAACCAAAAAGATTATTAAACTAGAAGATATTTGCCGTACAATGGCGGAGTTTTGAAAAAAGCTGTTAAATTTCGCCAAAAAAATCCGATGGTTCTTGGCATCCCAAAATTTTATTTTTCATCCAATCAAAAAACTGGAGCCTCATTGTACGGCAAATATCATCTAGTTTAATAATCTTTTTGGTTTTTTTAATTTCAGTCACTAAGAAGGCCGCAATCACTGCAGCAGTGGGAAAACTTTTTTTTTGGAGATAGCGAATAACTCTTTAAAAAAAAGATATTTTTCTTTGAAAAAATTACAAAATGTTCACTATTTATATAAATATACATGTACAAAACTTTAAAAAAAATTAGATGCAATCATGTCCCTGAAAAAAATTCCCTGACTTTAGAAAAAATTCTCTGACATTTCCCGGTTTTCCAGGTGTTGTAAACACCCTGTTGTATACAAGATATCATGATCCGGTTTGTCTCAAAATGAAGCTTGACTCTTTTCCTCATTTTTATCTCATCACGTGTATGGGCCAGGATCAAAATTTAAAGAACGTTATGGATGATTATAGAGACTTGAAGTTGGTCCCAAACTGAAGCTTGACTCTTTCCCTCATGATAGATGATAAGTTTGCAACGTCAGGAATAAATTCCTTTATGCCATTTGTGCAAAAAATCGACAAATTGGACGCCTGCCTGGTGGGGACTATAGGATCTACGTCTCATGGAGATAAGTTAGCAACAAAAAGTATTAGCAAGAAAAAACTTTTTCCCTATAAAAAAAGAATTTGGATGTAGTGCAGGTGAAAAATACCCGCAAACTCACGCTCCTGAAGCGTAGTTAAAATGAAATTTGTACGCAAGTCGGGGAGGGTGACTCGAAAGATGAGAAGAAGGGATGCTGCAGGAGTGAGAGAGAAGGCAAAAGAGGGGATAACCCTTAGTGTTAGCACGATAGGGGTGGAATAAGCGCGGATAAGAACGAACGACTCTGCCCTAAAGCGCACTGGACACCCGTGTCGCAACTAAAATGTGACTCGAGGGTAGAAAACGGGGAACGTGTACCGTGCCGAAATTTTCATTAGTTTAGTATAACACATTTTGTGGTGCATGATGGTACACACATTTCCATCCGGTCAATACAAATTTTAATTATAAAAACCAAACAAACAAAAAAATTCCTAATCGTGACAGTGAAAAATCGAAAAAACAAAATAAAAAAAAACCGTGAAAAATTATTTCGAAAGTATCCAAAATATATACATATCATTTTATCGTAGTAAAAACAAAAAGAAAGGAAAAATATTTCTTTATTTGCATGTCGCGTGCTCCAAGTGTGGATTAAATGAAATCTCGATGCAAACACCAATTATTAAATGCAGTCGACAAATATAGTTAATCGATTTTTAGTTTTTGACTGGTGTCAATACATTTGTCTTTTTTGATAAATATTGTGATTTGTGATTTTTTTTCGTCTTTTGTGTGTCTCTTTTTTGAAGCGCCAAAGAAGAAATTAAAAAGGTAGAAGAAAAGGGTGAAAAAGAAACGAGTTGAAGAAGCAAAAACGAAATTAAGGTAAGTTTAGCTAGAGACGCAATTATTCTAAAGTGTATACGAGTGTATAATGAAGTAGTTTATGACGTTTTTTATACTTGCTTTCTTAGAATTAAATTATGCTTTCACCGAAGTAAAAAAGTGCATCTCCTGGCATTTTTAAAAATACTTTTACCAAGATCATTATTATACAATCCCCCCCCCCCAAAAAAAAAAGAAAAGAAGAATTACGAAACTGTTTATTGCATCTCTAAATAAGTCCAAATAGCTTTTGTGCCTGTACCCAAAATTATCAAACTAACCTATGTGCTTTCTGTTAAATACAATTAACACTAAATTAATAGTCAATTTAATTATGTTACTTTAGTGCAATTATTATACAATCAAACGATAATTAATTATATCTTCTACGCATATTTAAATTTGTAATTAATTCTTGCTTTTGCCAGCATTGTAAACTTTAGTCTTTTGTGTATTAAAAATTGTTTTTTGTTTTTGAAAGTTCGTTTATATACGTAAATAAATATTTCAAATATGCAAATATTTTGAATACCTAAATATTCCGCATTAATAAATATTTCCAATTAATATTTCGAATAAAAAACAAATTTTTCGAATAAATATTTTAAAATAAACATTTGAAAACACAAATATTTTCGATAAATATTTGAATAAACAAATATTTCGAATAAAAAACAAATGTTTCGAATAAATATTTCTAATAAGCATTTGAATAAATAAATATTTCGAATAAATAATTCGAATAAACAAATATTTAAAATAAATTATTGTATTTGCTAAAAAGTTTTGTTTGTTGATTATTATTTATATTTTGTTTACTTGTTAAAATTGATTTATTCAATTATTACTTCCTCATAGAGGAAGTATTGTAATACCGAAATTTTTTGAGTTCGATTTTTTGACATATCTTTATGTTATTTGACCTCAGGAGTTCAAAAATGACATTTTTAAAAAATGTCATTCCGTACGTGTGTGTATGTGTGTGTAAACATCACATTTTCATAAATATCTCGAAATCATGAAGAGCTTTTGGGTTGAATTTTTTTTTGAATTGTAGATCTCACCTGCGGACATAAAATGAGAGTACTTTGAGACAGATTAATAAAGTTTAACTAAATTTTTTTTGGATTTTTAATTTTGCAAAAAAACGTTTTTACCCATAACTTTTAAAAAACGTTAGGACACCTATAAATGTTTTTCCATAATTTTGTAGAGTTTTTTTAGACGCATCTTTTGAGCCCTAATTGAACATTTTTCGTCCATATTAATCGGAGTTATTGAACTTTTTAAAATCAAAAATTTTGGAAAATAAGACTTTTTTGAAAATTTTGTTGAAAAATGTAGAAGTAATCTTAAAATTATCGTTACCGACTTGTAGAGCTTCAAAAAACGCTTCGATTGACCTATTTTTGAACCTAATTTGATAATAAATTTCGAAATTATTGGTATTTTAAAAACCAAAAATTGTGGAAAATGACATTTTCTTAACTTTTTTGTTTGAAAATTTTTGTTTAACTATTAAACTATTATAACTATATTGTAGAGTATTTAAAAATACATTGATTGACCCAAAATTCAATCACTTTTACCATATTTATAAAAAGTTATTCATATATTTCTATTATTTTTATCTCTATGAGGAAGTAAAGTGTTCATGAAATGAGCACCAAAACTATACAAAAAAATATACAACTTGGCAGCGGTTTGTAATTCAAATTCTAATTTAAATTCAAGTTCAAAATTGCAAAAAAAAATTTATAAATATTATGCAGTAAAATATTGAAAAATAGTTGCCACAGTAAAAATGATAAATTTCCAAACATTTTCCTTACAAAAATCACTATTCTTTATATTTTTAAACAAACTTTTCATTTAAAAAAACTCTTTTCTTTCATTTTAATCAAATTTTTCATTAATGGAACTTTTTTTCAAGAGTTTATATTATTAGTTACAAACGATCAATGACAATTTCCCTTAAATTTTCATTGCTCTGACACTTATTGCTTTTTTTCTGCCCTTGTGCACACGTATCTTTATAAAGTATATAATATCAAACAATGAACACCGTCTTTGCGATAAAAAAGAAAAAAAAAGAAACAACACTTTATTCGCATTCTGAGGGCGTCAAAAATGTGAAATTCATCTCTGTCGTTATTTCCGCTCCATTCACAGTTCATCATGCTCCCTCTAAGCTTTGGATACTCTTTCAAGCTCTCACATACTAAATGTATATATATATATTTTTTTTCTATTTCTTTATCAGACGATTTAAGATACGACCTTTCTCTTATATAAATACAATAATACAATGAGCGCGCACAAGAATATAAAGAAAGTTACCAGAAAGTTCATTTTTCTTTTTCCAGACGGTGTGGAAAGATTTCAAAAATACATATGGGTGATTCTCCGCGTAGCGCACAATTTAATGTCCCTCATGTTTTTTAAGAAATCAGTTTCATATATTCTAATAAATTCAACGTGGATAACTTCTTTCCATGATAACAAATAAAAGTCTATAGTCGTTTTCATTTAAAAATTTATGATTTTACTTAAAAATCTGTTTTAAGGTGCCAAAACATCATGGTCTAATCAGTCCCCACTACTATTTCATAAATAAAATGTTATTTTTTTAGTAAAATATAATAATAAATATTATGAATATTGACATTTTCTTATTGTCTAAGTTAGTAGAATTGAGAAAAACAAAACACTTGTCGAAAAGAAAATTTATTTTTTAATTTTTTTGTAGATATTTCTTGTCCTCCGTTTTCGCGTCATGGTCTAATCACTTTGTAAAATTGAATAATTTACATAAAGAATCAAATTGAAAAATTACTTAACATTAATAAAAAGTATTAATAAACTCTCCTAAGTAAATTACTAAAAAAGAAATTAATTAAAAAATTTTTTTTCTGTTTTAAGGTAAAGGTCCCTATTATGGGACGCGATTTAATCTAAACTAAATTTCTATGATAAATTTCTTGGAATCAGGAGTGTTAATATGAATAATTAGGGTATAGATTGAAAGATTTATATGTTATGAATAATATTTAGACCCTAAAATGGTTATTTTTCTTGAAATAAAAATAATATTAATTAAATTTTGAAACTCTGCACTGCACTAATTATGGGACTATGTAACGGGTATGTACGGGTGTCCGAAAATAAATGTTCCTATTATGAGACATTTATTTAATTCAATAAGTAATTAGAATTCTATTGACTTCTCTTAATAATTTGAATATTAATTATAAAGAATAAAATACAATAAACGAATTCTGGTTTAATAAATAATTATAAAACTAATTTTTCTGGTAGAAAATTAATGTGAAAATACTGAAAATATTTGAGGTTATGTTTGCTGTGTGTCTCATAATAGGGACATGCAAATAATAAGTGTACCTAATGTGGGACGGTAGTCTGACGGAAAACCTGGCCTACCTTAATTTAAAAGCTAAAATGCAATTAAACATTTCTTATTAAATTAAATGCTATTCACAAATAATTATTCTTATAACGTGTAAAATTTTTTGAAGTAAGTAGAAATTTCATATGACCAATTTTAATTGCATTTATTTTATTTTTTGTAATACTGTCTCATAATAGGGAAAAAATTGTGAATTGTCCCATAATTGGGACCTTTACCTTATATATGTTAAAAGCATGAAAGTTGCATAGGGAATCACAGAATCGTCATGGTCTAACACGGAAAAAAAGAAATTAGCTGCAGCAGTAAACAGATGTTTGCTGTAAAATCTCTGAAAATTAGCTACCACAGCTAAGAAGTTTGCAGTGGCAGCGAACATGTTAGCTGTGACAGCAAACATTAGTAAAAATTTAGTCGAGTTTGCTGTCATAGCGAACTTGTTTGATCTCACAGCGAACTTGTTCGCTGTCCCTATTTCAACGAACAAGGTTTGCTGTGGCAGCAAAATGTTCGCTGCCACAGCAAACCCTTTCTATGCGTGAATCATCACATATTTGCAATAAAATGAATAATTATTTATATTTTACCTCAAAACAAGTTTAGTAGTATAAAGTATTGAACTGTGTCACTGAAGCACTCATAAGTGTAACTAAGATTTTAAGTTCAGGTAAATAATGAGTAATCAAATTAATTTCTATAAATTACAGCATAAATTTCTATAAATTACTGCATAAATTTCTATAAATTACCGCATAAATTTATATATATTTCCGAAATTTTTTTTCTTAATTACTAATTTTGCAACAATTTACTGTTCATTGCCGCACAACTTTCTATAAATTTCCATAAATTACCAAATTCAAAATTTTTAATAATAATTTAAACTTTACATATTTTTATGAATTATGGCGAAAATTTCCATAAATTTTCATAAATTTCTATAAATTACCATAAATTTCCATAAATTACCGAAATAATAATTTTTAAATAAGATTTACGCTATAATATTGTTTAAATTACCGCAAAATTTTTTTGGACAGAATCTGTCCAAACAGTAAATTTGTTAATTACTATACTTATGTTGACAACAAAAATTATAAACAATTTTTCCGGCCTGCTATGGATTTTTCTTTCTGGAGCCTTTATCTTCAAAAAAATATATTAGGTAATAATAATCATAACGATAAAATTTTTTTTTTAAATTTCATAAACCAAATCGTGCGCTACGCGGAGAATCACCCATATAAATGTGCTGTGACACTGAATAAAATTGTTTATTTCTTAATATATTATTAATATTTACTGCTACTAATATATTATTATTAACTTTTACTATTAACTTTTATTATTAATATTTACTATTAATTTATATTATTATTAGTATTTATTGCTAATATATTATTACATCCATAAAAAAGAAATATTTGACTCAGAGCCAACTAAACTTTATATTTGTTTCAAATAAATTTTATTTCGTTTAAATAACATTTTATTTAGTTCAAATAAATTTTATTTGATTCAAATAAATTTTATTTCGTTTATATAAAATTTTATTTGGTTCAAATAAATTTTA